AGCCTGTTAGCTCATCAGCCTGTTAGTCAACGGCCTGTTAGCTTATTAGCCTATTAGTTAACAGCCTGTTAGCTCATCAGCCTGTTAGTTAACAGCCTGTTAGCTCATCAGCCTGTTAGTTAACAGCCTGTTAGGTCATTAGCCTGTTAGCTCATCAGCCTGCTAGTTAACAGCCTGTTAGCTCATCAGCCTGTTAGTTAACAGCCTGTTAGGTCATTAGCCTGTTAGCTCATCACCTGTTAGTCAACAGCCTGTTAGCTCATCAGCCTGTTAGTCAACAGCCTGTTAGCTCATCAGCCTGTTAGTTAACAGCCTGTTAGCTTATTAGCCTATTAGTTAACAGCCTGTTAGCTCATCAGCCTGTTAGTTAACAGCCTCTTAGCTCATCAGCCTGTTAGTTAACAGCCTGTTAGGTCATTAGCCTGTTAGCTCATCAGCCTGCTAGTTAACAGCCTGTTAGCTCATCAGCCTGTTAGTTAACAGCCTGTTAGGTCATTAGCCTGTTAGCTCATCAGCCTGTTAGTCAACAGCCTGTTAGCTCATCAGCCTGTTAGTCAACAGCCTGTTAGCTCATCAGCCTGTTAGTCAACAGCCTGTTAGCTCATTAGCCTGTTAGCTCATCAGCCTGTTAGTCAACAGCCTGTTAGCTCATCAGCCTGTTGGTTAACAGCCTGTTAGTCAACAGCCTGTTAGCTCATCAGCCTGTTAGTTAACAGCCTGTTAGGTCATTAGCCTGTTAGCTCATCAGCCTGTTAGTCAACAGCCTGTTAGCTTATTAGCCTATTAGTTAACAGCCTGTTAGCTCATCAGCCTGTTAGTTAACAGCCTGTTAGCTCATCAGCCGTTAGTTAACAGCCTGTTAGGTCATTAGCCTGTTAGCTCATCAGCCTGCTAGTTAACAGCCTGTTAGCTCATCAGCCTGTTAGTTAACAGCCTGTTAGGTCATTAGCCTGTTAGCTCATCAGCCTGTTAGTCAACAGCCTGTTAGCTCATCAGCCTGTTAGTCAACAGCCTGTTAGCTCATCAGCCTGTTAGTCAACAGCCTGTTAGCTCATTAGCCTGTTAGCTCATCAGCCTGTTAGTCAACAGCCTGTTAGCTCATCAGCCTGTTAGTTAACAGCCTGTTAGTCAACAGCCTGTTAGCTCATCAGCCTGTTAGTTAACAGCCTGTTAGTTAACAACCTGTTAGGTCATTAGCCTGTTAGCTCATCAGCCTGTTAGTCAACAGCCTGTTAGCTTATTAGCCTATTAGTTAACAGCCTGTTAGCTCATCAGCCTGTTAGTTAACAGCCTGTTAGCTCATCAGCCTGTTAGTTAACAGCCTGTTAGGTCATTAGCCTGTTAGCTCATCAGCCTGCTAGTTAACAGCCTGTTAGCTCATCAGCCTGAAGGTTAACAGCCTGTTAGGTCATTAGCCTGTTAGCTCATCAGCCTGTTAGTCAACAGCCTGTTAGCTCATCAGCCTGTTAGTCAACAGCCTGTTAGCTCATCAGCCTGTTAGTTAACAGCCTGTTAGCTTATTAGCCTATTAGTTAACAGCCTGTTAGCTCATCAGCCTGTTAGTTAACAGCCTGTTAGCTCATCAGCCTGTTAGTTAACAGCCTGTTAGGTCATTAGCCTGTTAGCTCATCAGCCTGCTAGTTAACAGCCTGTTAGCTCATCAGCCTGTTAGTTAACAGCCTGTTAGGTCATTAGCCTGTTAGCTCATCAGCCTGTTAGTCAACAGCCTGTTAGCTCATCAGCCTGTTAGTCAACAGCCTGTTAGCTCATCAGCCTGTTAGTCAACAGCCTGTTAGCTCATCAGCCTGTTAGTCAACAGCCTGTTAGCTCATCAGCCTGTTAGTTAACAGCCTGTTAGTCAACAGCCTGTTAGCTCATCAGCCTGTTAGTTAACAGCCTGTTAGTTAACAGCCTGTTAGGTCATTAGCCTGTTAGCTCATCAGCCTGTTAGTCAACAGCCTGTTAGCTTATTAGCCTATTAGTTAACAGCCTGTTAGCTCATCAGCCTGTTAGTTAACAGCCTGTTAGCTCATCAGCCTGTTAGTTAACAGCCTGTTAGGTCATTAGCCTGTTAGCTCATCAGCCTGCTAGTTAACAGCCTGTTAGCTCATCAGCCTGTTAGTTAACAGCCTGTTAGGTCATTAGCCTCTTAGCTCATCAGCCTGTTAGTCAACAGCCTGTTAGCTCATCAGCCTGTTAGTCAACAGCCTGTTAGCTCATCAGCCTGTTAGTTAACAGCCTGTTAGCTTATTAGCCTATTAGTTAACTGCCTGTTAGCTCATCAGCCTGTTAGTTAACAGCCTGTTAGCTCATCAGCCTGTTAGTTAACAGCCTGTTAGGTCATTAGCCTGTTAGCTCATCAGCCTGCTAGTTAACAGCCTGTTAGCTCATCAGCCTGTTAGTTAACAGCCTGTTAGGTCATTAGCCTGTTAGCTCATCAGCCCGTTAGTCAACAGCCTGTTAGCTCATCAGCCTGTTAGTCAACAGCCTGTTAGCTCATCAGCCTGTTAGTTAACAGCCTGTTAGTCAACAGCCTGTTAGCTCATCAGCCTGTTAGTTAACAGCCTGTTAGTTAACAGCCTGTTAGGTCATTAGCCTGTTAGCTCATCAGCCTGTTAGTCAACAGCCTGTTAGCTTATTAGCCTATTAGTTAACAGCCTGTTAGCTCATCAGCCTGTTAGTTAACAGCCTGTTAGCTCATTAGCCTGTTAGCTCATCAGCCTGCTAGTTAACAGCCTGTTAGCTCATTAGCCTTTTAGCTCATCAGCCTGCTAGTCAACAGCCTGTTAGCTCATCAGCCTGTTAGTTAACAGCCTGTTAGTTCATTAGCCTGTTAGCTCATCAGCCTGTTAGTCAACAGCCTGTTAGCTCATCAGCCTGTTAGCTCATTAGCCTGTTAGCTCATCAGCCTGTTAGTCAACAGCCTGTTAGCTTATTATCCTGTTAGTTAACAGCCTGTTAGCTCATCAGCCTGTTAGCTCATTAGCCTGTTAGCTCATCAGCCTGTTAGTCAACAGCCTGTTAGCTCATCAGCCTGTTAGTTAACAGCCTGTTAGCTCATTAGCCTGTTAGCTCATCAGCCTGTTAGTCAACAGCCTGTTAGCTCATCAGCCTGTTAGTTAACAGCCTGTTAGCTCATTAGCCTGTTAGCTCATCAGCCTGTTAGTTAACAGCCTGTTAGCTCATTAGCCTGTTAGCTCATCAGCCTGTTTTTAACAGCCTGTTAGCTCATCAGCCTGTTAGTTAACAGCCTGTTAGCTCATCAGCCTGTTAGTTAACAGCCTGTTAGCTCTTCAGCTTGTTAGCTCATCAGCCTGTTAGTTAACAGCCTGTTAGCTCATTAGTTTGTTAGCTCATCAGCCTGTTAGTTAACAGCCTGTTAGCTCATCAGCCTGTTAGTTAACAGCCTGTTAGCTCATTAGCCTTTTAGCTCATCAGCCTGTTAGCTCTTCAGCTTGTTAGCTCATCAGCCTGTTAGCTCATCAGCTTGTTAGCTCATCAGCCTGTTAGTCAACAGCCTGTTAGCTCATCAGCCTGTAGTTAACAGCCTGTTAGCTTATTAGCCTATTAGTTAACAGCCTGTTAGCTCATCAGCCTGTTAGTTAACAGCCTGTTAGCTCATCAGCCTGTTAGTTAACAGCCTGTTAGGTCATTAGCCTGTTAGCTCATCAGCCTGCTAGTTAACAGCCTGTTAGCTCATCAGCCTGTTAGTTAACAGCCTGTTAGGTCATTAGCCTGTTAGCTCATCAGCCTGTTAGTCAACAGCCTGTTAGCTCATCAGCCTGTTAGTCAACAGCCTGTTAGCTCATCAGCCTGTTAGTTAACAGCCTGTTAGTCAACAGCCTGTTAGCTCATCAGCCTGTTAGCTCATCAGCTTGTTAGCTCATCAGCTATTAGCTCATTAGCCTGTTTGCTCTTCAGCCTGTTATCTCATCAGCCTGTTATCTCATCAGCCTGTTATCTCTTCAGCCTGTTAGCTCATCAGCCTGTTAGCTCTTCAGCTTGTTTGCTCACTAGCCTGTTAGCTCATTAGCCTGTCGACAGGCTGCAGGTCTTTCTGTCTGCATTCAGCCTCCTCAGTATTTAAGGCCGTCATTTTCAGGTTATCAATGTTTCTGTTTTACAGGGAGGAGAAGAAATGAGGCCGACTACATTTCATTCTGACGTTAAGTAAATAAAACCTTTTTATTGTTATGGACAATGAATTGAGTTATTTTAAATGTCAGATCCTGGTTTGTTTCAGTGTTTGCGTTTATTTTCATTTTCTGTCAATTTTGCTCAGCTTTGAATCATTTCTATCAACCTGATGAATAAATATTTCATCACCAACTTCCTTCATGTTGGATCCAATCTATTCATAACATTAAATCCTGAATGCATTTATTCTAAATGTAATATTTGAATCTAAAAGTTAAAATAAAAATTAAGAGCAACTCTTGGTGATTAAATCAGCGAACCATAACTTCATATCTTATCATATTTAATTCCTGTTATCTGTTACAGCAATTTTAATAATTTCCTTTAAAATTCTCAAATATGTTTTCCTTTTAGGTTTTCTGCCTTTTCTGGAAACTGCAATTACAAAGTTTGAAGGACAAAATGTCACCTTCCAACCAAACATCCCTGGACCTCAGATTAGTTCCTATTACTGGACTTTCATGCAAATAATCAAACTGAGAAAATAATAGATGTGACTGGAGAGATCAAGAAAATGAACAGAACCAGATTTGAAGGTCGCCTGGATACGGATGTAAAAACTGGATCAATCACAATTTCAAACCTCAATCTTTGTGACAAAGGAACTTTTAAGGGGTTTTTTTCCAGAGAAGGGAGAAAAATCTCTCACCACATCGTGGAACTGGAGGTCAAAGGTGAGAAACATAAATGACAAAAACACGCAATGAAAGAAAGACTGGAATCCTGTTTTTAGCTTCATTTATAGTTTTATTGCACTTATAATGTAAATTATATTTTTCTCCTATTGTTCAGAAACAATGATGCTGTTGAACTGGATCTTCCGGTGGGCTCCAATGCTACTCTGAGATCCAAACTGGAAAAACTGGAGGAGGATCATGTTGTCTCCTGGTCATTCGGCAAACTGTGTCCTGAAAGAGAAATCGCCAACAATAAAAAAACTCCAGTCATCATGGAGATATTTTTGATAATGTGATTCTTAATCTAACTAATGGAGACCTGACAATCCCTCAGATCACAAAAAGCTTTAGTGGAAAATATTATTTTAGGATATTAAAGGGTGGATATCCATACATTTCAGGAACATATGATGTCAGCGTGTTCGGTAAGTATTTTGGATCCACTGAAACTCATGAAGCTTTTCTACAGATTTATTAAAAATAATAATAATAGGGAGATTATATCTAATGTATATAAACATGTACAGATGCATTTCTCTGACAGTTCTATAGATACAAAGCAAAGTGGTAACTAGAAATTAATGTTGAAGATCACCTGTAGTCCAGGTTGGAAGAAATTTGACAGGAAATTAAGAATAAGATTCTTCAAAACACCTTTCAGTGTTTCTAAACCAACAATTGGAGGAACAATTGGAGGAATTGTCACCAGATTGGGAATCACTCACATATTTTGGGGCTGATTCTGTTCTGGCAGGGAGTTCAGACAGAAATTCAATAAATATTTTAGTCGACGTTTCCACTGAACCCACTGCATTAAAAACTGGGTTTGACGTCCAGTTACTACAGATTCTGTTGCTGGTTGCAAGGAAAATGATAACTCTGTGCTGCTCAAGCTTTGCCTCCCACCCTTCAACAATAGCAGAAAGACTGAGGAAAGAATGTGAATATAATGCAAAGAATAACAGCAAAACTTCATGTGAAAATGGACCCCATACAGAATGAGGTTCATACACTGAGAGTGTGGACTTCAGCTATGCTAACCCATAGCCTTATAATGCTATGCTAACCCATAGCCTTATAATGCTATGCTAACCTATAGCATGAAAATGCTATGCTAACCCATAGCCTTATAATGCTATGCTAACCTATAGCATGGAAATGCTATGCTAACCCATAGCCTTATAATGCTATGCTAACCCATAGCCTTATAATGCTATGCTAACCCATAGCATGAAAATGCTATGCTGACCTATAGCATGAAATGCTATGCTAACCCATCGCCTTATAATGCTATGCTAACCCATAGCATTATAATGCTATGCTAACCCATAGCCTTATAATGCTATGCTAACCCATAGCCTTATAATGCTATGCTAACCTATAGCATGAAAATGCTATGCTAACCCATAGCCTTATAATGCTATCTTAACCTATAGCATGAAAATGCTATGCTAACCCATAGCCTTATAATGCTATGCTAACCCATAGCATGAAAATGCTATGCTGACCTATAGCATGAAAATGCTATGCTAACCCATCGCCTTATAATGCTATGCTAACCCATAGCATTATAATGCTATGCTAACCCATAGCCTTATAATGCTATGCTAACCCATAGCCTTATAATGCTATGCTAACCCATAGCATTATAATGCTATGCTAACCCATAGCATCAAAGTCCTATGGGTTATTAAAAGCTGTTAGTCTGGATATGTTCACCTATCTGTCATGTGAGCCATGAGAAACTTTCTGAGAAATGGATTTAAATGTTTGCTGAGAACCTTTTTGTCTCGCTCGCTTTTCTGTTGTCCTTTGTAAGTGCAAGTATAAATATGCATGTGTGTTGGATTCATAACGTTCTTAAATAAAGGATGTTAAAAAAAAAGAATCACTCAAAATAATAAATTAACATTGTGTTTCTGATTTTTCAGATGGTTATGTGAATATTCGGTGGGCTCCAATGTTACTCTGAGATCCAAACTGCAAAAACTGGAGGAGAATAATGTTGTCTCCTGGTCATTCGGCAAACTGTGTCCTGAAAGAGAAATCGCCAACAATAAAAAACGCCACAGTCATCATGGAGATATTTTTGATAATGTGATTCTCAATCTAACTAATGGAGACCTGACAATCCCTCAGATCACAAAAAGCTTCAGTGGAAAATATTATTTTAGGATATTGAAGGGTGGATATCCATACATTTCAGAAATGTACGACGTCAGCGTGTTCGGTAAGTATTATGGATCCACTGAAACTCATGAAGCTTTTCTACAAAATTACTAAAAATAATAATAATGTGATCTTAATCTCAACACTCCTGGTAAAATAACTCTTTGCCTCATAAAACTACTGTGGTTAATCATTTTAAAACTGTTTTTATTAATACTTTTCCAGAACATTTTTATTGACCATATCATAGAGAGTGGAGTATTTCTGCTGCCAATGGAAACAGAAGAAATCCTGTCTGCAGAGGAGCAGATGATGGAAACTGCATCACATATATCTGTGAACAGTTCAGCATAAAACATAAATTACTTTAGTCCAGAGGTTTACAGCTGATTGTCACTAACTTTTCTTCTGTACCATTTATTTTCTATTTCTCCTGCCTCATGTTCTGAGCTCCTGATCCTCAGTTTGTCCCATTTTCAGTGTTTTTTCTGCTTCCTTCAGTGTTAACATTATGCATGATGTAATCTTTGAAAGGTTTGAAGTCAAGATGATCAGAAATAAAAGCTCATCAGTGTAGGAACTGTAACTATAACTCCCAGCAACCTGACAGGTTCAAAGAGTTTTTCCACTCAGCAGAAAACCAGAAACAAGTTGGCAAAAAAAAAAAAAAAAAAAAAAAAAAAAACACCAAGCAAAAACTTCTGGGAAATTTTTAAATTTGTTTTAATATCCTAACTAATGGTATGAAAAACCAGCCTTTCATCGTCAGTTCTGGATGTTTAAAATGTTAAACTTTGAATTTATCCTGCAGACTAAATCTGAACTCAGGGATTGATTGATTATTTACCTTCATTTTGGTTTCAGCCAAAAAATGACAGAAACACATTAATTCAACTAAAGTTCAAATTCATGATTTCCTTTTTGGAAAATGGGATGAAAACAGAAAACTTCTGACAGCTCCTCTGATTATTTTCTCATTGCTTTTGCATTGGATGTTGTTTTGTGGGAACTTCATGGTTTCTTCTCCTTCAGATCCGGTTTCTGTTCCCAACATCACCAAGTTGACGGTTCCACCAACCCACAGTGGCTGCAGCCTGACCTGTTCAGTGGACAACGGGCCTGGAGTGAACCTGACCTGGTTCAGAGGAAACGCCAACGTCAGCTGCATCAGCAACCAGAGCGTCTCCGTCCTCGCTCTGCCGCTGCACATCCAGGCGGAGGATTCCTCCACCTACAGCTGCCAGGCACAAAACCCCGTCAGCAAGCAGAGAAAAGCTCTGGACTCCCAGCGCCTCACGTGTCGCAACGCAGGTAAAAGAATCAGAGTCTGAGGAACATGCAGCTCAGTTCCTCAGTTCTGATCAACATCAGAGCTGAAAGCAGCCAGGAAACAGATTTATTAATAAATTCCCTCCTTCTGGTGGAAATTAGGATTAGGCTCTGGATTAGAGTGAGGCTTTACCTGATCACATCTGTTTCTCTGGGTTAATTTCTGTTTTATGAAGTTTTCATGATGATAAATATTTTGAATTATTGCTGGTTTTCAGGAACAGCGAAGCTTTGGGTTGGACCGGTGATTGGGGGTATTATTGCTGCCACTCTGGTCATCATTGCTGCTGCAGGTCTTTTCACCTATTGCATAAAAAGGAAAAAGGTACATATGAAAAAACCTTTTTGATCATATTTGCTACATTATTCCTTCAACATTATCCTCTGCTGATGATGTTGCGTAACACAACAGGTTGTCATGTTAGAAATCGTCTAAGATCTCAGTCAAACCAAGAGACTTCGCCTCAGAACTGCAGCTCCTCTCTGGTAGATCTATAAAACATATGATCTAAACATTTAAAATCATTTATCATGTTTGTTAAATTTCTTGCTATTTTGCATCAACAAAAAGCAAATATCTCTATATATTTTGGATTATTTTTGGACTGATTTCTTTCAGACAAGTGAAGAATATCTGCTGCAAAACGTTCAAGGATCAAGTTATGAGACAGTAAAGTGACGTGGTTCACTGACCTGCTCCACCCAAAGGGAAGAGATGGAGAACATCGACCGCTGTTGATCTCACAGAGAAACTGAACATAAACAATTCAATGTGATTTTATTTTAATCTTTGAATGTAAATCCCTTACATGTTTCATTTCCATATTTTAATGTTTATCCTGTATAATAAACAAATTATGAAGTGAATCTGAGTGTCATTTAGTCTGGACGAAATATTTCATATTTACTGCAGATGTTTTAGAGTTTAATGAGCGAAACATGAAGCGGTCAGACTCCTGCTGACCTGGAGCCTCAGACTGATGGAGTTTCTGCTGGTTTCAGATCAGCTCAGGCTGAAAACCCAACAGAACCGATTCTCCACCAACACACAACTCTGACCTGAACTCGGTTCTGTTGAAGCCCGGATCCATGGAAACTGTTCAAATCCTCCAATCAGGGCGGATCAGCGGCCTGCTGGGCTGTTGGTGCCCTCTTCCGGTTGATATGTGGTATTACATCTCTTCAATATTGTGTTTCTGTTAACAAATAAATGGCCACTGGGGGCGCTAGACCATCCTATGATCCAGCTGCCTGGGTCATAGGGTGGTCTATGAGCCATCCTATTACCTCATCTGGCTTTAAATAATATGTAAAGGAAGATAGTAAAGAAAAGCCTAAGTTAATAAATATCCAAAGGATGAGTTCATTTATTCTATCCTTTTATTTCAATTAAAATTCCAAAGTTCATATAAAGTTATTAAAAATCTGTTCGCATTGTTTAAACTAAGCTATCTTTCATTTGTTGGGAATTACTAGTGAAAAGTGTATTTTCCTACAGCAGGATGGTCTGTGAAGGCAGCACAAGTTGCGAGGGAGGAAAAACAGCGAAGAAGAAGAAGAGCTGATGGGCGCTAGCAGCAGGAGCTACAGGCAGCTGGATTCAGCGAGTCAGCTCAGACTTGCCAGGAGGAATCCTGCTAAACATTAATAAGTAAGTTAGCAGCACAAGGTGAGTTTCGGCTTGAAGCTGTTGGACTGTGCGCTTGTTTTCTGTCGCGTTAGGGCGAAGCTAGGCTAGCTGTTAGCTACTCCAGTAAACCAGCTTTGCTGTCAAAGATCTTCTGCAGCTTCTGGCTGCCATCAGGTCTGATGGGTCGCATTGGAAAATAATCCGACCTGAGCTGTTCAGACTGTCATGAAAAGATCAGAAGCAGGTTCTGGCAATGAAATTGGAATTGGGTCACTTCAGTCTGCAGTGTGAACGCAGCCTGAGACCCAGAGGCCCCTGCGCCCTTTGACCCTCAGCGACCCTCAGTTACCGCCATGTCCGATTCACTTGTTGGACCAGTTTATTGTCTAAAATATAATATTCTCTCCCTGCCAACGTTTTAGAGGTAATATCGGTTGGCCAACTGTAACTGAATATGTCTTAGTTTGTACCTTAAGGTGCAAATGAAATGAGCAAGGAAAATGTTTGCATGACATCAGAGACGTTATAATATGAATGTGTTCATGTTTCATCTTCTCTGCTTCAGCAGATAATCCAGAAATGAAGCGATTCAGCTGCAGCTTCAGTTCATCCTGCAGGTTCCAGCAGCAGCATGAGGAGAGCGCAGCAGAACCACGACGCCACCAGTGCAGAGCTTGCTCAGAAACATTAAGTAGATATTTTAGAGACCCGTTAAAGGCAGAGTGAAATTCTGCAGGAAGCCTTAAAGATTTGGATGTAGCTTTTTTTAAATTTTACTGTAGGAACAAAATCTAAAAATGTTGATCCATCAAACACATTGTTGGCTAAGTCTTAGAAAGTTCAAACGAGTCTAAATACAAACTAAAAATGTTCCACTTGTGGTTTCATGACGCTCTTTGTGACGCACACACCCGGGTATCATGCAACCACAACGATACCCAGAACCACAGAGTTCTTCATCGATCGGACCGGGTCACGTCAAAGTTTCCTCTGCTGGCAGGAAACAAGTTGGTTCTGATTTTCCTGACAAGTCAACCAGACTGCAGGAGTTTTGAACATGGAGGTTTCTCACCACATCATCTGTAGACAAACATCACAGACATTTCAGTCATTTTTGTTTCAAGACACAAACCAGAGAAATATTTTACATCCAGAGTCTTTCAGAGCTGTCAGCGGGACAGGAGAGGAAATGAGCCGAGCTGAAATGTGCCAGGAGTCATGAGTTCCTCCTCCGCTCTCTGTGGGTCAGGTTCTGGTCTCTGTGGGTCAGGTTCTGGTCTCTGTGGGTCAGGTTCTGGTCTATGTGGGTCAGGTTCTGGTCTCCTTGGGTCAGGTTCTGGTCTCCTTGGGTCAGGTTCTGGTCTCTGTGGGTCAGGTTCTGGTCTCTGTGGGTCAGGTTCTGGTTTCTGTGGGTCAGGTTCTGGTCTCTGTGGGTCAGGTTCTGGTCTCTGCGGGTCAGGTTCTGGTTTCTGGGGTCAGGTTCTGGTCTCTGTGGGTCAGGTTCTGGTTTCTGTGGGTCAGGTTCTGGTCTATGTGGGTCAGGTACTGGTCTCTGTTGGTCAGATTCTGGTCTCTGTGGGTCAGGTTCTGGTCTCTGTGGGTCAGGTTCTGGTCTGTGGGTCAGGTTCTGGTCTCTGTGGGTCAGGTTCTGGTTTCTGTGGGTCAGGTTCTGGTCTCTGCGGGTCAGGTTCTGGTTTCTGTGGGTCAGGTTCTGGTCTCTGTGGGTCAGGGTTCTGGTTTCTGTGGTCAGGTCAGGTTCTGGTCTGTGGGTCAGGTTCTGGTCTCTGCGGGTCAGGTTCTGGTCTAGATTAGAAACAGGCTATAAATGTTGGCTCTGATTCATCTGAGCAAAATCTAAAGAAAACAAAAAAATATCAGGTTTCTGAATGCAGATAATTCAAAGAACAAACTTTATTTTTAACAAAAATTCAAATTCGTTCAGTTTGAAAAAGATTTTTCCCCAAAGCAATTTAAAACCAGACAGAACTACACTACAAAAACACAAAATCTACCAAATAAATTTCTTTAGTTATATAATAATATCTCAGTGCAGCTGAAATAATTCCTTAATATTAATTGAAAGAGTTGTTGGTTCCACAGCAACATTTTTCCATGTTACAGATTAAATAATCTGCCAGTGGAACCAGCACTTTTTCATCAGTATTTAGCAGCTTTTAGCTGAGAAACAAGCCTCCATTGCTGAGAGTTACTTGTGAATTATATTTGTCTACTTGGTGAGTTTTTGCAGTGCAAACCTCGCCTCGTTTCTTATGTGTTGATAAATTATTTCAGTTTTGTGTTAGAAGTGTTTGAGGTGAGCAGGAAGCTTCCTGTTAGCAGTTAGCTCATCTTATCTGTCGTAAACATCGGCAGCCACAGCTGGTTTGTTTGTCTGACATTTAGCTGAAGAGACAGGAACCGGGTCAGAACCCGACTGCCAGCTCACAGACCCCCGATGGACCACATGGGGTCACATGGGGTCACATGGGGTCACCCGAGGGAGGCGCTCGGTGATCGGACTCATTCAGGATCCAAAGGTCCGAACGTCAGAATGAATCAATCAGAACCAAACATCTGATCAAACACATGATCATTGAGCTGAGGTACAACTGATCAGTGAAGAAGAAACTCATCAGTTCACAATCAGGAGGAAACTTTCTCTGAAACGATTGGAGCAAATTTAACTGAACTATTTGAGTTTTATCAGGGGCAATAAAACTGGATCAGATTCAGAAAGAAACTGGGAAAGGCCTGGAGATGTTCTGGTTCTGCTGACCGGGTTCTGATGTTCTGGTTCTGCTGACCGGGTTCTGATGTTCTGGTTCTGATGTTCTGGTTCTGATGTTCTGGTTCTGCTGACCGGGTTCTGATGTTCTGGTTCTGCTGTTCTGGTTCTGATGTTCTGGTTCTGCTGACCGGGTTCTGATGTTCTGGTTCTGATGTTCTGGTTCTGCTGACCGGGTTCTGATGTTCTGGTTCTGATGTTCTGGTTCTGCTGACCGGTTCTGCTGTTCTGGTTCTGATGTTCTGGTTCTGATGTTCTGGTTCTGCTGACCGGGTTCTGATGTTCTGGTCCTGATGTTCTGGTTCTACTGACCGGGTTCTGATGTTCTGGTTCTGATGTTCTGGTTCTACTGACCGGGTTCTGATGTTCTGGTTCTGATGCTCTGTGTTCCAGCGGTTCCCAGACCCAGATCTGTGCAGTGGAAGGATCATCTGTGACCATCAGCTGCAGATTCTCTCATCCAATCAGAGACCAGGATGCAGTTCTACTGTGGTTCCTGAACGGCCGTCCTGTGGACCCGGGGTCAGACCCAGAGTCCAGAGGTCGGGTTCAGACTCTCTGCGGTCCGACCGCCTGCAGTCTGAGACTCACCGAGCTGAGAGAGAGCGACTCGGGTCGGTACCGGTTCTGGTTCAGGACCAGCAGTGGAAGTTATTCTCCAGGAGTCTCTCTGACTGTTGCAGGTGAAGCTTCACTGACATGCTTTCCATCCACCGTATGAAGAGACAAAAAGCAGCTTCATCTTGTTTCAGTTCTCCGTGTTCAGCTGCTGGAATCAGAGTACCAAGCGGGTTTCACCAGGGCTCATCTGAAATGTCTCAGCAGCTGCCGGCCCGATCATCAGTCCTACATCTGGATCAGAAACGGACGGGAAATCCTGAACCAAACGTCTCCTTCTGTTTCTGTCTCGGTTCGTCCCGCAGACACATATTCCTGCTCTCTGGAGGGAAACCAGGAGTTTCCGTCTCCGTCGGTCTGTGAGTTCACTCGGCTTCTGCAGCATCAGCTGATCTGATCTGATTCTTTATGATTCTTGATAACAACATTCAGTGGTTTCATGTTTCCCCTGCAGATGCTCCTCTTCCTCCCTCCGTCTCAGTCAGTCCCTCTGCTGAGGTGGAGGAGGGAAGTTCAGTGACTCTGACCTGCAGCAGCGATGCTAACCCAGCAGCTAGCTACTCCTGGTACAAGGAGGATGAAGATTCTCCCAGAGCTTCAGGACGGAGCTTCATCATCACTGACGTCAGACCTGAACACAGTGGAAATTATTCCTGTAAAGCTGAAAACACCAGAGGAAGTCAGAGCTCCACCGTTCACCTGGAGGTCAAAGGTCATCTTCACCTTCAGCTTCCTCTGGTTTCTCAAGAACCAGAGCAGAACTCTGATCCAAACTGTCTAAATGCAATGTGAAAACCTCCATCATGTTTCTGGTAACTGAGTTTTCTTGTTCAGGATCCAGATCTGCAGCTGCTGCAGGAAGTGCTGCTGTTCTACTTCCTGTCGTTTTCCTCTCTGTGTGTCTGTGGATCCGGTGAGCGGTTCTGATCCATTAATGACCATTAACTCATTCAGTCACGTCAGACTAAAGTTGTACTCTTCATCATCGTCCTGAGCAGGAAGACGAGGAGCTGCAAGGAAACAGCTGAGCTCAGAGCAGACGAGCTGCAGCAGGTGAGGACGCTCTGGCAGCCTGTGGTTTGGACTCTTTGTTCTCAGGAAAAACCTTTTCTCTGCTAACCTGCCATCATCTGAGACTTCAGGAGGATCCAGAGCAGCAGGATGAGCTTCTGTACGCCACTGTTCGCTTCATCAGGAAGCCGCCAGACGGAGCAGCTCAGAGTCCCAGAGGAAACCAGAGATACCAGGACGCTGCTGCTGCAGCAGCTGCTGCAGCTGCAGCTGCTGCAGAGAGCCACCTTCACCCCGAGGTGAGCCGCTGCTCACAGCGAGACGTCTGCACAGACTTTAACTGGACCGCTCTAACTTCAGATCCATTCAGTTCATTTAAGCAGAAATAAAGACAAACAGATTGAGTTCAGTCGGACGGAGTCTGGTGATGAAACTCTACAGTTTATTATTCTAAAGACAAACTGATCCAGGTTTTATTCAGAAACAGTTCAGTCACACGACTCCAAACTCATCCAAAAACATTTCATATGATTTCTCCTGCTGCTTGTTCAGAGTCTCATGTTTTCTCTTCCTCTCTCCCAGATCCAGACATGACGACAGCAGAGAGGATCCAGCCGCACTTTACAGCACCAACCAACACAGGACCTGAACGACTTTACCTACGCTCATATTTTCCTTTTAGCTTCTGTATGTTGCATCTCTGAACTGCCAGAGTAAAAATGTTCTGGGTCCAGACGGGCCGCCGAATGTTTAGGGTCTGAGACTGCAGCCATCATCTTCCTCGCTCTTCATCAGGACACCGTTAGTTTCCTGTGTTATTATGGGATGGCTGCTGGTTTCTGCAGGACGATGGTTTCAGCTCCAGTTCGTTCAGGAAGAGACAGAGAACAGAACAGTTCTGCTGATCGTCTCTGATCAGCAGAACCAGAATCTGAGCTCAACTGGACCCAGAACGTTTCAAATGTCTGATTTCTGTCTGCAGAGGTCAAAACTGAGAACTACATAAATATTCAATTTAATACTTCAGTGGAACACAAGATGGAGCCAGTTTACTGTTAACAACACAAACAACAGTTTTTACTCAGGCACCGACTAAAACACTCATTACAGGAAAACATTTGAGATAAAAATGATTTAAATTAAACTCTGAGTTTATAAAAACCTGTTGAGTTTGTAGATTAATGAATCGTCTCTGCAGGTTTACTGAAGTTTGTTCTGGAAAATGTTCACATCGATATCAAGTTCAGCTTTAGACAGCGAAGAAAGATTTTATATTTCATATAATAGAAATCCTGTCTGAGTGACGGGATCAGGTTCCTCTTCACTTCCTGAGCTGCTGACGACGTCAGGAGAGAAGAATCATAAATTTAGTGTTTAACAGTAAAATTACAGCGTCAGAAAGGAAGAGAAAATGACTTCAGAGCCTTTTGTAGAAAGATGCAGAGAACCAAACGGTTTGTGACGGTTTGGTTTCTGTAGAACAGCCTCTCTGTTGGAGCCAGAGCTGCAGGTCTGATATATTTGAATTATTTATGCATCTCCCACACTGAGCTGCCATCACAGAGAATAGTCTCACACTGAACATGTAAAATTAGGCCAGTGTTGAAACCGCTTCCTCTGCAGTAGAACAAACCCACACTTAAAGTACCTTTGATGTTTAAATGGATTTTAAGCACTTAAATATAAAAGGAACTGTTGAAACGTTTCTTGTTAGTCAAATTATTGATGATAATGATGATGATGATGATGGTGATGATAATGGTGATGATGGTGATGATGATAATGATGATGATGGTGGTGATGATAATGGTGATGATGGTGGTGATGATGATGATGATGATGGTAATGATGATGGTGGTGATGATGATGATGATGATGGTGATGATGATAATGATGATGATGTTTTTGCTGCAGCTGCTGAAGTTGAAGTGTCTGATCAGCAGAATCATGATGTGACTGAGGTCTGATGCTGTGGTTCTGCTGGTTCTGGTTCTGTTTCTGTTGCATTTGGGTCACAGTGTGGCTGAATGTTGAGCAACAGGAAGAGCTCGGTGGTTTCCTCCAGCAGAGGAACCTGCAGCAGTTTATGCTGCAGCAACTGCAGCATAAACTGCTGCATCCGACTTTAGCTGCTGATTCTCTGTCTGCTGGAAAACCTTCAGCTTCCACCAGAACCAAACTCCATCAGAACCAATCGGACTGGAGGACGCAGCCGGTGTCCTGGAGCCGAGTCCATCAGAGAGACGGACTGCAGAGGAGGAAGTGATGTCATCATGGTGGTTAGTCTGTGGGTCATGTGACTTCCTGACGTCCAGATTAGAGCTGATCTCAGCCTGAGTCTCTGCTGCTGAAGACGAGACGGGATGGAGGCGCTGCTCACAGCTCTGCTCCGTGAGTTACGGTCCGGTTCTGGTTCTGTTCTGATTTAGGTTCTGGTTCTGTTCTGGTTCTGGTCCTGGTTCTGGTTCTGGTTCAGGTTCTGGTTCTGTTCTGGTTCTGGTTCTGGTCCTGGTTCTGGTTCTGTTCTGGTTCTGTTCTGGTTCATGTTCTGGTTCTGGTTCTGTTCTAGTTCAGGTTCTGGTTCAGGTTCTGGTTCTGGTTCTGTTCTGGTCCTGGTTCTGGTCCTGGTTCTGGTTCAGGTTCTGGTTCTGGTTCTGGTCCTGGTCCTGGTTCTGGTCCTGGTTCTGGTTCTGGTCCTGGTTCTGTTCTGGTCCTGGTTCTGGTTCTGGTTCTGTTCTGGTCCTGGTTCTGGTTCTGGTTCTGGTTCTGTTCTGGTTCTGTTCTGGTCCTGGTTGTGGTTCAGGTTCTGGTCCTGGTTCTGGTTCTGGTCTGGTTCTGTTCTGTTCTGGTTCTGTTCTGGTTCTGGTCTGTTTCTGTTCTGTTCTGGTTCTGGTTCTGGTCCTGGTCGTGGTTCTGGTTCTGGTTCTGGTCCTGGTCCTGGTTCTGGTCCTGGTTCTGGTTCTGGTTCTGGTTCAGGTTCTGGTCCTGGTCCTGGTGCTGGTTCTGGTTCAGGTTCTGGTTCAGGTTCTGGTTCTGGTTCTGGTCCTGGTTCTGGTTCTGGTTCAGGTTCAGGTCCTGGTTCTGGTTCTGGTTCTGGTCCTGGTTCTGGTTCAGGTTCTGGTTCAGGTTCTGGTTCAGGTTCTGGTTCTGGTTCTGGTTCTGGTTCTGGTTCTGGTTCAGGTCCTGGTCCTGGTTCTGGTTCTGGTTCTGGTTCTGGTTCAGGTTCTGGTTCTGGTTCAGGTTCTGGTTCTGGTTCTGGTCCTGGTTCTGGTTCTGGTTCAGGTTCTGGTTCTGGTTCTGGTTCTGGTCCTGGTTCTGTTCTGGTCCTGGTCCTGGTTCTGGTTCTGGTCCTGGTTCTGGTTCTGGTCCTGGTTCTGGTTCAGGTTCTGGTTCTGGTTCTGGTCCTGGTTCTGGTTCTGGTTCTGGTTCTGGTCCTGGTTCTGGTCCTGGTTCTGGTTCAGGTCCTGGTCCTGGTTCTGGTTCTGGTTCAGGTTCTGGTCCTGGTTCTGTTCTGGTTCTGGTCCTGGTTCTGGTTCTGGTCCTGCTTCTGGTTCTGGTCCTGGTTCTGGTTCAGGTTCTGGTTCTGGTTCTGGTTCTGGTTCTGGTCCTGGTTCTGGTTCAGGTCCTGGTCCTGGTTCTGGTTCTGGTTCAGGTTCTGGTTCTGGTTCAGGTTCTGGTCCTGGTTCTGTTCTGGTTCTGGTCCTGGTTCTGGTTCTGGTCCTGGTTCTGGTTCAGGTTCTGGTTCTGGTTCTGGTTCTGGTCCTGGTTCTGGTTCTGGTCCTGGTTCTGGTCCTGGTTCTGGTTCAGGTCCTGGTCCTGGTTCTGGTTCTGGTCCTGGTTCTGGTTCTGGTTCAGGTTCAGGTTCTGGTTCAGGTTCTGGTTCAGGTTCTGGTTCTGGTTCTGGTCCTGGTTCTGGTTCTGGTTCAGGTTCAGGTCCTGGTTCTGGTTCTGGTTCTGGTCCTGGTTCTGGTTCTGGTTCTGGTTCTGGTTCTGGTCCTGGTTCTGGTTCTGGTCCTGGTTCTGGTCCTGGTTCTGGTTCTGGTTCTGGTCCTGGTTCTGGTCCTGGTTCTGGTTCTGGTCCTGGTCCTGGTTCTGGTTCTGGTTCTGGTCCTGGTTCTGTTCTGGTTCTGGTCCTGGTTCTGGTTCAGGTTCTGGTTCTGGTTCAGGTTCTGGTTCTGGTTCTGGTTCTGGTTCTGGTTCAGGTTCTGGTTCTGGTCCTGGTTCTGGTTCAGGTTCTGGTTCTGGTTCTGGTTCTGGTTCTGGTTCAGGTTCTGGTTCAGGTTCTGGTTCTGGTTCTGGTCCTGGTTCTGGTTCAGGTTCAGGTCCTGGTTCTGGTTCTGGTTCTGGTCCTGGTTCTGGTTCTGGTTCTGGTTCTGGTTCTGGTCCTGGTTCTGGTTCTGGTCCTGGTTCTGGTTCTGGTCCTGGTTCTGGTTCTGGTTCTGGTCCTGGTTCTGGTCCTGGTTCTGGTTCTGGTCCTGGTCCTGGTTCTGGTTCTGGTTCTGGTCCTGGTTCTGTTCTGGTCCTGGTCCTGGTTCTGGTTCTGGTTCTGGTTCTGGTTCAGGTTCTGGCTCTGGTTCTGGTTCTGGTCTGGTTCTGTTCTGGTTCTGGTCCTGGTTCTGGTTCAGGTTCTGGTCCTGGTTCAGGTTCTGGTTCTGGTCCTGGTTCTGGTTCAGGTTCTGGTCCTGGTCCTGGTTCTGGTCCTGGTTCTGGTTCTGGTCCTGCTTCTGGTTCTGGTCCTGGTTCTGGTTCAGGTTCTGGTTCTGGTTCAGGTTCTGGTTCTGGTCCTGGTTCTGGTTCAGGTTCTGGTCCTGGTTCTGGTTCTGGTTCTGGTCCTGGTTCTGGTTCAGGTTCTGGTCCTGGTCCTGGTTCTGGTTCTGGTTCTGGTCCTGGTTCTGGTTCTGGTTCTGGTTCTGGTCCTGGTTCAGGTTCTGGTCCTGGTCCTGGTTCTGGTTCTGGTTCTGGTCTGGTTCTGTTCTGGTTCTGGTCCTGGTTCTGGTTCTGGTCTGGTTCTGTTCTGGTTCTGGTCCTGGTTCTGGTTCTGGTCCTGGTTCTGGTCCTGGTTCAGGTTCTGGTTCTGGTCCTGGTTCTGGTTCTGGTTCAGGTTCTGGTTCTGGTTCTGGTCTGGTTCTGGTTCTGGTCCTGGTCCTGGTTCTGGTCCTGGTCCTGGTTCTGGTCCTGGTTCTGGTTCTGGTCCTGGTCCTGGTTCTGTTCTTTTCTGGTCCTGGTTCTGGTCCTGGTTCTGGTTCAGGTTCAGGTTCTGGTTCTGGTCCTGGTTCAGGTTCTGGTTCTGGTCCTGGTTCAGGTTCTGGTTCTGGTCCTGGTTCTGGTCCTGGTTCAGGTTCTGGTTCTGGTCCTGGTTCTGGTCTGGTTCTGTTCTGTTCTGGTTCTGGTCTGGTTCTGTTCTGGTTCAGGTTCTGGTTCTGGTCCTGGTTCTGGTTCTGGTCCTGGTTCTGGTCCTGCTCCTGGTTCTGGTTCTGGTTCTGGTTCAGGTTCTGGTTCTGGTTTTGGTTCTGGTCCTGGTCCTGGTTCTGGTCCTGGTTCTGGTTCTGGTTCTGGTCCTGGTTCAGGTTCTGGTTCTGGTTCTGGTCCTGGTTCAGGTTCTGGTTCTGGTTCAGGTTCTGGTCCTGGTTCTGGTTCTGGTCCTGGTCCTGGTTCAGGTTATGGTTCTGGTTCAGGTTCTGGTTCTGGTCCTGGTTCAGGTTCTGGTTCTGGTTCTGGTTCAGGTTCTGGTTCTGGTTCTGGTTCAGGTTCTGGTCCTGGTTCTGGTTCTGGTTCAGGTTCTGGTTCTGGTTCTGGTTCAGGTTCTGGTTCAGGTTCTGGTCCTGGTTCTGGTTCTGGTTCAGGTTCTGGTTCTGGTTCTGGTCCTGGTTCTGGTCCTGGTTCTGGTTCTGGTTCTGGTTCTGGTTCAGGTTCTGGTTCAGGTTCTGGTTCTGGTTCAGGTTCTGGTTCTGGTTCTGGTTCAGGTTCTGGTTCTAACTCTGGTTCTGTTCTGGTTCTGGTTCTGGTTCAGGTTCAGGTTCTGGTTCTGGTCCTGGTGCTGGTTCTGGTTCTGGTCCTGGTTCAGGTTCTGGTCCTGGTTCTGGTTCAGGTTCTGGTTCTGGTTCTGGTCCTGGTTCTGGTTCAGGTTCTGGTCCCGGTTCAGGTTCAGGTTCAGGTTCTGGTTCAGGTTCTGGTCCTGGTTCTGGTTCTGGTTCTGGTCAGCCAGTATTAAGTTGAATATTTTGATCAATTTCCTGGTTAAAATGGAAACATTACAGTTTTTCAGTCAAAATGAAAAAGTTTTATCATATTTTCTGTAATTTGATTTTTGCAAATAAAAATTTGGTTCATTTGTTTGACAAAATGAGATTTAAGTTGTACAAATGTTAAATGTTGATGAAAACTGATCACTGATATGAATATAATCTATTTCACTAAATCTATTAATTCAGTCAAAAAGTCTCATTTGTTCCTGTAGAATCTGAAGTTTTTATAAATATAAACAAAAACTGAATATTATTATTTCTTCCTGTGTTCTTTATGAAAGTCAACATTATATTTAAAGGGGCAGCATTTTGTGTTTGCTGGACACATGGCAGCCATTTTACAGGATAATCAATAATCAATGTAACTTCAGGTGATATAAAATGCAACATATCATAAAAGACTTAAAATAAATTTTACTTCCTGGTTTATGACCTTGAAATTGGTCCTTTGTCAGTTTAAGAAGCTCCTGCTCTTCCCAACATGGCTCCTCTGTTAACACTAACGGTTTCACCAGCGTTGCTCAGAGCAGCAGCTGTTTGCTAATTGCTGCTGGCTAGTCTGAAGGAGCAGAGTGGAGGAGGAGCTGTCTCCTCCCTCCATCTTCCCTCCATCCGTCTGACTCCTGAGAAATGAAACCAGCAGGTCCAGAACTGGACTGGATTCTGCAGAGTGGACAGATTGTCAGTCCTATAAAACACTGAGGAAATGATGAATAAAATGATCCTGAATATTAAAGATGAACAATAATCAGATGTTTCCTTTCTGTTGGCAGGATTTTATCTGATTATCAAATTCAGTCAACATGAATTGTTGAAACCTGAATCTGCCATGACTTTGATCTTTTAGACAAAACATTGAATGATATTTAATAAAGACATTCAGGTCAATATTTCACTCTGACTTCCTGTCTCTCCAGTGATTCTGGGATTATCTGCTGGTCAGGAAGTGAAGGAGAATCTGACAGGAATCGTTGGAGGAAGCATCGCTCTACCTGGAGGTGTCACAGAGACATGGTTTCTTTTATATGATGGAAAAATCATTGCTTCAGTGTCTGATGGTGAACTTAATATTATTGTGAACTTTTACAAGACCAAGCTTCAGTGGAACCGAAGCTCTGGACTCTTTACGATCACAAACCTGCAGAAGAACGACTCAGGAATCTATATAGTTCAAAAAGGACAATTTTTTTCTTCATATAAACTCCAAATCTATGGTGAGTATTTATTTTTATTTATTGAGGTTTTTCTCTGATTGTTCAGATCTGAGGTTAAATCAGTTCTAGATATTTATCTTCTGCTAACAGGTTTTAACTTTCCCCAGCAACAGATTCATGTTTCAGTTCATAGATATTGATAAAACTATATCTGATCACTAAGAATGATCACAAATCAGGAGGATGAGATGATAAACTGAAATGCTCTCATCTGGATAATAATGTTATTATTATCTGTGAAGATCTTTGTTACTGAAGTTAAATATTAAATATATTCTCTGCAGATCCAGCACCGACTCCTGATGTGAAAGCTGTTAGCCTGACCTCTGACCTCTGCCTGTTGACCTGCTCTGTGGACAATCCAGCGACTCTGCACTGGATCAGAGACAAAGAAATACACAACCAGAGTCTCTCTGCTCGGTCTTTACCTTTTATTGTTCATAAAGAGGATAGAAACTCATCATATAGATGTGTAGCAGCCAATCCTGCAGAGAACAAGACTGTAGATGTTAACTTGATGACTTCCTGTTGGCTCAGCCAAGAAGAAACTCTGGTTGATAGAAGAACATGTGAGATTTATCATAGTCCAGGGGTTTTCAAAGTATGAAAGGGTGAGCCTCCCCTCCAAGGAGCACAATGCCTGCTGCCCCCCCCTTCCTAATAATCAACCCACACACAAACAAATGCCACTACAAAACACTCTCTAATTGCTTTTATTTTAGAACCATCTCATCTTTTAAAATGACTTTATCTGAATGAAATTTAACACATGAACATTTTAAAACATTTCCTCCCATTTTAAGTATTTTATCAGGGCCTTTGGATGGTAAATACGCCCTTTTTTCATTTTTCAAATGATAAGAACAACCCCAAACTCATTTTTCAACCGTTTTCTCAAACAAACATTACATCTGAGATTCTGAGTTTAATGTTTGATACCAACAGTGTTTTCACATCTTAACAAAAACATTTTGATCAGATCTTTGAAACACATCTGTAAATGTTGCACATTTCCTCAAAATTAAAAATATAAATCAAAAACCTAAACAGTTGCAAAATTGTGGAGCTCTTTTTGTGGCTCATATAAACAATTTATCTCGAGCTAAAAGAGCGTGCAGTATGGAAGAGCGGAGGCATACAAAGGAAAAAACATTCAGCACGCTATGCGCACCATTTCTTTTTCTACCACGGTCCTGAATCATGTAAGTCATTTTATTTATGATTTTAACTAAATTGTCAACATTACTGTTCAGCTCACCTTCGTTTTAGTGGGAACAATGTGCTTTTGATGCGCAAATCCGGTTAATGCGGGGTTGCACTGTGGAGCGGTATAACCGCAGATCATCTCCAACCAGCAGCCTTGACCGGGATTTGCTTTTTATCATTGCGAGAGCGGAAAACCCACATTCACAGAGATAGGTTGAAGTGAAGGAGATGAACACGTTTACTAAAAATTTGTCAATTTTTTTCTCTCACATCCGTAGACAGCAAGCAGACAGCTTCTTCTTCGGTTTATTTTTTCCCTCGCACCGCGCCTCCCCTAATGTGCTCTGGCGCCCCCCAGAGGAGGCGCGCCTCACACTTTGAAAACCGCCGTCTTAGTCTATTAGAAATTCTCTCATTTGTTGCAGTTTCTGCTTTATTTTCATGTTTTTCATGTTTTGTTCCTGATGACAGATTGGATCCCAGCTGCTGTTGCAGTGACTCTCGTTGCATTGGTGGCTTTTGGAGTCTTGGTGATCAGGAAGAAATTTATGAGCCGAAAGGAAGCAGCTGGACAAACACAGAACAGGTTTTCATTCATTCATTCATTCATTCATTCATTCATTCATTCATTCATTCATGATTCATTCATTCATTTCATCATTCATTCATTGATGAAATGATGAATGAATGAATAAATGAATGAATGATGAATGATGATAATAATGTTGTTATTCATATGATAAATGAATGAATGAATGCTGAATTCATTCATTCAGCATTCATTCAGCATTCATTCAAAATGAATGAATGCTGAAATGATGAATGAATCATTCATTCATTCATCATTTCATCATTCATTCATTCATCATTTCAGCATTCATTCATTCAGCATTCATTCATCCATCATTTCATCATTCATTCATTCATCATTTATTCATTCATTCATTCATTCATCATTCCATTCATTAATTCATTCATCATTTCATCATTCATTCATTCATCATTTGAGCATTCATTCATTCATTCATCATTTCATCATTCATTCATTCATCATTCCATTCATTCATTCATTCATTCATTCATTTAGATATTGGAGACTCTCAAACAATCTGAGCTGCAGTGAAATTAATGTTGGCATTTCTACAGTCCAGATTCTTTATTTGGCTTCAACATCTTTAAAACCCAGTCAGGGAATCGGATCATCAACAACCATCAGCAGCAGATCAATAATCAATAATCCATAAGAAAATATTCATTGAAGCTTCAGAAAAACTTCGACTCTCATCAAACAGATCTGGAGATAATTCTGGGTTTATTAAATCAATTTTTAAAACCAGACAATGTTTCATTTATATCTGAGTTAATAAAGTTCAAATATTAACTTAAAGAATTATTAGAAAAAATGTAATTTTTCTTGCAAAGGTTTTTAAAATATTTTATATTTAGGAGGAACAATTAATCCCAGACTAATAAAACCTTTTGGCCCCCAGTGGAGACCTGCAGAACCAGAACCAGAACCACAGTGGTTCTGGTTCTGAATCTGGCTGTTTAGGTTTTTCCCTGTTAAACGGGAGTTTTTCTCTCCACTGTCTCCACATACTTGCTCATTCTGAGGTCCTGCTGTAAACTCACACTGTTAGGTTTTTTAGATAGAAAACTTTTTCCTAAATTCAATAACAAACTAAACTTTCTTGTATTTCTAGGATAAAATTGGAAATTATTTGATTGAATGGACTGTAATAAAATCTGGATATTCATTAAATCAACATTAGATTAGCCATATTGTCCCTACTGATAGACAATCTCTGTTAGCAAGGTAATGATGCCACAAACTGAAACCAGTTAAACTTTTTATTGTTCTCTGATTAAAATATTCTTTTGAATCAAAAATATTTAACAATACAACCATCATCAAATTTAAAGATCAATCTTTAAATCCATTGTTAAACTGATAATATTTTATAACATTTTATGTGTTTTTACTTTTTCAGGTCAGGATTTTCGTTTCCTCCAGAAGTTTCTCTTCAGGAAAATGATCCAACATTTACGACAGTCGTCTATGGAGCCTGAAACCTGGAAAAACTTCAGAACATTCCTGCTTTTAAATGTTTGAGATATTTTATTTTTTCCAGTTTATACTTTGGTGCAGAAGTTTTGGACAAATTGAAGTTTATGCAAAACAAACTTTGAGCTGAACTGTAGAGAAAACAGATGCAATAAAATCACATTTATTTCCATAGAATATTTCAGAGCATTTAAGTTTATCTGCTGTTTTCCAAAGCAAAGGATTTAAAGCTTAAACATTCAGAAAAACATAGAATCACATCAAACAGATGTGCAGATAATTCTGGGTTACTCATTTGGTTTCTGTCGATTTATTTCTATTTTTAAAATGAGACAATGCGTTAATTTATATCTGTAGAAATAAAAGAAAAAAAATAATAAAATTTTTCTTGTATTTGAACTTTTATATTGTTATATTTAGGTGGAAGAGTTTATTCGAGACTAATAACAGACTGGATTTGACCCCTAATGTAGACCTGCAGTGACTCCTAGTGGACAGGAGGAGAAACATTATGATGCACAAACAGCATTTTAAAACAATTCAAACATCAAAAACAACATGAGAAATAAATAAAGTAAAAACATGATTAGTCTCTACTTTTCAAGGAAAGTTTGTACTTAAACAGACTTTAAGAAAAAAGTTCTATTTTTCTCTGATTTTGAGAAAATTATGAACAAATATTAAATTCTACCAAATGATCAGATAAAATGTATCGGCTGTAAGAAGCTACGATTATTTAGGTTTAGAGGAAATGGAGTTAATATTAATTTATCAGATTAAATAATCTCTGTTAAAAATCCTGACTGGATGAAGGAGTTTCATGATTTATATAATATAATGTAATCAGACTTTTATATTTTGGAAAATTAATAATTCAATGTTTCTATATTTTATTTCTATGGAAGGAAAATGACGTAATAAGATAAGAATTGTTTGTTTTTTACTGTTTTTGTACTTTGTGATGCCTCTTCACATTGTGAAACTCAGAATGTTTTAATGTGAGCTCAGCTGTTCCACCAGGTGTTTGCTAATTCTGCTGACTAGTCTGAAGGAGCTGGGGGAGGGAGGGCTCTCCTCTGAAGCTCCTCTCCCTTTTCAGCAGTCAGTTGTGATTAAACTATTTGTCAAACATGTATGAGGGAATGAAGGCAAATATGAATATAACATGAAGTAAAGCTGAAACCGGTTGGTTTGAAATGATACTGGCCCTTTAAAAGAACGGATCCTCCTGCTGTTTTTGCCTCTTCATGGAACCGGTTCAGTAAATTCTGGAGTATCTGGGTCAGAACTCAGACTCAGTTTGTTGTTGATGAGATGTGGGAACTGCAGCTGGATTTCCACATCATTCAGCAGTTAAAGCTTTTCATCCCTGCTGAAGCTGCAGAGCCGCTAATGAAACCTGGAGCCACAAACAGCTGAATCTGATCCTGCAGACGGAGAAAAACTCCAACACAAATAATTACAACATGAAGAAACTCCTGACATGGCGTCAGTTCATGCTCTGTGAAGGGAAAAGGCGCCCCCTGGTGGTGATGCCTCATCATTTCTAAGAACCAACCAGCAACATTCACTGTTAAAATAATGTTTTATTTCTCTGGTTCTGTTTTATTTCTCTGGTTCTGTTTTATTTCTCTGGTTCTGTTTTATTTCTCAGGTTCTGTTTTATTTCTCTGGTTCTGTTTTATTTCTCTGGTTCTGTTTTTTTTCTCTGGTTCTGTTGTTGACTCTTTTATGGGATTCTTCCATTTCTCATCAGTGATGTCAGCGACTCCATTTGTTTCTATCAAACCAAACTTTTCCTCCTCAGCTAATTAAAACTGATGGATGTGAAACTAAAAGCAGCTGCAGACAGAAACCATCAGATTAGGATCCAAACTGATTTAATGTTTCACTTTTAGTTTGATTCTCATTATAAGCAAAAGTTTCTTCAGTTTGTCTCTGTAGTCAGGCTGACGACCTGCAGCTTTCAGGCAGAGAGGTCGCAGGGGTCACAGAGGTCGGCGGCTCTGACCTTCACGGAGCCCTGCTGATGTTCCTCTGATCTGTTTGTTGTGGAAACTTGTGCCTGGTTGGTTTGTTCTGTAAATACAGTGATGCTGGTGGAGATGAGGGACTGAGGCTGGACTCACTGAGCTCAGATGAAACTTTCTCCTTCTTTCCCAGATTCCCAGAGATCAGCAGCTGTCAAAACGGAGAAGAACGGAGCCGATACAATCCTTCATGTATCAGCATGAAGGATTCTGGAGTCAAACACAAACATTCAGTCGGATCTGTTGGTTTGTCCTGCTGTTGTCTTTCTGTTTCAGTTTTGGAAGAGTCTTATATGAAACGATTCATGCTAATTATAATGTCCTTTCAACATGGCTGTGACATCATCAACAGCTTCAGAGGAGAAACGATCAGTTACTGTGGAAATGATGCAGAAATAACTCAGATTACATTTAGAGACACATTACTGCATGAAACTGACATTTTTATGCAGTAGAAATGATGTTGATCTGATCTAAACATCCATCAGCAGGATGAGCTGGAACATGAAGCGCTTTCCCAGAAACTATTTCTCTGGAATGTGGGAATTTCCTGAGGGGATTTTTTCATCTGCTGCTGATTTCCTGCCGTCTTTAATGAGTCAAAGAGCGACTCAGTGAGAGAACTAAAGATTAGGGTGATGGTAAAGAGACCTTCCAAACTCAAACACTCTGAGACCAAAAATAAATCACCCAAAAACCAACATGAGAGGAAATCTGGAGTTCACATACAGCCAGAGATATCATGGATTAGATCAGGTTAGAACGGCCTAGTCAAAGTCCAGACCTTAATCAAAATCTGTGGAAAGGTTTGTAAACCGATCACAGAACAGGAGAAATGGACCCGGAGCGAAAGGAGCTTCAACAAACTCTGGAGGCTGAATCCAAATGCACTCCACACTTTTAAGAGTTGTCTTTATATTTTAAAAACTAAAATATAAAGACATGTATAAAATATACATTATGAAGCTAATGTTATGAAGCTAACATCATGAAGCTAACATTTTGAAGCTAATGTTATGAAGCTAACGTTATGAAGCTAATGTTAGCTAACATTATGAAGCTAACATTTTGAAGCTAACGTTATGAAGCTAATGTTAGCTAACATTATGAAGCTAACATCATGAAGCAAATGTTATGAAGCTAACGTTATGAAGCTAATGCTATGAAGCTAACATTTTGAAGCTATTGTTATGAAGCTAACATCATGAAGATAACATTTTGAAGCTAACGTTATGAAGCTAATGTTAGCTAACATTATGAAGCTAACATCATGAAGCTAACATTTTGAAGCAAATGTTATGAAGCTAACGTTATGAAGCTAATGCTATGAAGCTAACATTTTGAAGCTATTGTTATGAAGCTAATGTTATGAAGCTAATGTTATGAAGCTAACATTATGAAGCTAACAAAATGAAGCTAACATTTTGAATCAGATGTTTTCCTGCAGCAGGTGCTGCATAACTCCCGGCGATGCTGCAGGGCGCCGCGTCGACTCAGCCAGAAACATAAATAGAGGCGTCAGCAGAGAAAACATGAACTACTGATATGATCAAACAAAGAACAAGAACAGAGGCGTACAATGATGGGAAACACAACGAGTGGAGAAACAATGAAATTATAGGTGGAAAAAAAAAAAAAAAAGAGGGAAGTAGAAGAAAAATAACAGGATCTAGAAAAATATATCAGGATTTGACCAGAAGACAAAAACTGGAAAATCTATGTGATTAAAATCAATAACAACTAAAATAAATATTCACACATTATAAGAGCTTAAAGTAAAGGAATATTCTGTTTGATTTTCTGCCTTTGTCCCGTTGGACCTAATCCACTGATTAACTCTGAGACCTCAAACTAAAAACTCTTTTATTCTATATCTATATTTCAACAGATTCTCACTGACTCCATATTTATAAAGATTCTTTATCACACAGAAGACGAGATTTCAAACTTCAAGGAAATCATCAAAAGTGTTTTCAGAATGAAAAGAAATTTGGTGAAACAAAAACAAATCAAATTCAGAACCAAACCAGAACCAGTGAAATTTAATATGTTATTAATATTAAGATGAAGAAAAACATAATCAGATGAAATTTTTCTTACCAACCAAACAAAAACACATTTCACAAGAAAGTGTTGAATCTAATTCTGTAAAGAAACAAAAAGCTTCAGAGCCAAATAACGGATAATAATTCTGATCAAACTTTCAGTTTCATCAGGTTATGAAGAATGAAAATCCAGAGGAGTTTATGAGTTTAAGCTTGAAATGATGATTGGTTCATTTATAGCAATAAGGCAGCTTACTTCAAAATAAAGTGTGAAATAATCTAATTTGGTCATAAAATCACACACCAGTCAGTGAACCATCAACCCTGACAGTAACCATGAATATTCTTTAGGAATATTCATTTATTGTCATGAAGATTAATCTACTGTTTATTCTGCTTCATCTGCAGTTCTCCTCCCAAACAGTAGGGGTCACTGTCATATGACTGTAACAAGAGGAACAGCAGAAGAAGAAAGAAGACGCTTCCTAACAGACATTACCTGAAAAGTTTTAAACTGATAAAAATAAAGTTGATTGAATTACAGAAGACGTTTCCACTGATCCCCGAATCCTTTGAGTCTCAAGTTTCTGCGTTTTGTGAGTCAAAGGTTTATGGAGGCGGAGTCATTGAGTCATTGTCCTGTGGTCTAGTTAAAGGCCACTCCTGCTGCCTCCCTCCAGGAAGAAACATCTGCTGCTTTTATTCATGGTTCGTTTTATTATTATTATTATTATTTTTTACCACATTCTAAACTCCTTTTTCCAAACAGTGCATGAACAGAAAATATTCAAAATGTTCACAAAAAATTCAAGGCACAAATATAAAACTTAACACCAGAAATGGGAAATGTATGCAGTCAACAATAAGCTGCTTAATATATTGAATATATTGATGAATGTCCAGTTTTACAGCCTGGAGTTCCTGAAGGGAACAGATGAAATGTTAGCCACTAGCTGCTAGCTATTAGCTGTTAGCCAATAGTTGTTAGCTGTTAGCTGTTAGCCACTAGCTGCTAGCTGTTAGCCGATAGTTGTTAGCCGCTAGCTGTTAGCCAATAGCTGTTAGCCAATAGCTGTTAGCCGCTAGCTGTTAGCAGGTTCTGGTCTGTTGTTGGATGTTCCAGTTTAGCATAAACGGTTGTCAGATTGTTGTCGCTGCTTCCTGATGGTTCTGGAATATTTTCCTCCTGAGGAAAGAAAAACAGGAAACGGGTCAGAGAGACAGCAGGAAGCTGGTTCTGCTGGGTCAGAACCA